TAAGGCACTTGTTACTTGAAGTGATGCACTTGTTCCTAGCAGCTTCTTGTTACTACTAGTAAGGCACTTGTTACTAGAAGCGATGCACTTGTTCCTAGTAGCTTCTTGTTACTACTAGTAAGGCACTTGTTACTAGAAAGAATTTGATGGACCAGACTTGAGGGTTTGCATTAATTAGGTGGACTGGGTGTGTTTGCTCTCGACGAAGTCAGGCATAGCAAACCCACTCGCATTTTTCCTCTCTGTGATCATTCTCTTGTATTGTAAGCATGCCCCCGCCAGGACGGCTTCCTTTTTCGATACCGTATGTAATTACACCATTTCTTCTTTCACAAAACAGTGAGTTTCCGTTTTTGAGAAATACTCTTTTGGAAGGTCTTGAACTAACGTTCTCCAATAACGTTCCCCCGCGGTTCAAGCAAACCTTTCCCATTCGCTGGACCGTTTGCTCCAAGTCACATCCAAAATCTGAGATCTTCACCTCGCATGTGGAGCGGTCGGGAGAAGGACGCTCGAGGCTTTTGGACCCTACCGCTGACCTGTTGCAGAGGAGAAAACATCTTGTGATGTCCTACTCATCCGATGGCATCTTGTGGCTCTTTGATTTGTCTCTTTTCCTTTCTTTCTTTCTTTCTTTCTCTCTCTCTCTCTCTCTCTCTGGTGCCGTGTTGCCTGCTGTTGTTTGGTTGCTTTTTCCCAAGAGCGAAGCTAAGTATAAGGAGTCTTCAGCCATGGTAAAAACTTCAGCGGCAGGTCCTGGAGAAAACCCCGGAGCAGGCTCCAGAGCAGGCGAGCAGGTTGCGGAGGAGAGGTTCCGGAGAGCTTCGGGAGCTAGGGAGGTTTTGGAGGAAGTTCCGATTCTAACATGTTGTCATGACCTTGTGATGTTCTCATTCTAACTTGCTAACATACCATCATGTTGACCTGCTGTCGTCGATCCAAGTGGCCTCCAACCCAAGAGCGATGGCCTTTGCTATTGGGTTCCTTAAAGTCTTGTTCACTCGTTGGTGAAATTGCGATCTTGTCATTGCCTAATTTTAAGTTGATTCTAATTTATATATTGTTTCTACTAGCTTCTTGTTACTACTAGTAAGGCACTTGTTCCTAGTAGCGATGCACTTTGCTCCTAGTAGCGTCCTTGTTCATGTCCAGCTGTTGGGGACATTCTTGGACTCTTGGAGTTTTTGGATCTTCGAGGCATCATTCAGCCAATGAACCAATGACACTGCGCGAAAGTCCTCCTCTTCGGAAGTTGACGTTGGTTCTAGGTGAGAACCAAACAGCCAAACTTCTCACATGCTCAGGGGATCTCGTTGCATGGCTCTATCTGCAGTTTGGAGATGTTCACACAACACGTAATTTTTTGTTTCAACACGAAACGAAGCAACGAAAACGAGGACTTGCGCATCGGCTCCGTTGCAATCGAGTGACTCGCCCGGAGACGTCCAGCAACAAGTTGCTGCACTTCAAGTCGCGGTGCATCACCTGCGGCTGGGCATCGTTACGTTCGTAGCGTCCTTGCTACTAGTAGCGATGCACCTTGTTACTAGAATGGTGTTCATTTCAATAAACAACTTCCTCCTTGGTTGTTTCAGCAACGCTGACATCGAACATACTCAAGTTCATGCGGAGGGGTGCTCTTAAATGGGAGAGATAGAGCTACCAAATGAGACAACAAGCTTCCAAAAGACAGATGTCGCACTGCAACAATGAACCTGTTGGTCATGGAGATAGGCCAAACCACGTAGCACTTGCTCGCACAAGGCTGCACAAAGCTCCTCTCACCAGGGCAAAGAAAAGAAAATCGAGCTGAGGCTGAGATGCTTAGCTAAACAAAGCAAGCTCACATAGTCCACAAGCAAGCTTTCAACCAGCTTAGAAATGGAGCAAACACTTACAAAGGCGGCAAACCACAGCAAATGGTTGCCCCTTTGGCATTGATAACTTTTGCTCAGCCTCTACAAGTAAATTTTGGTTTACATATACCATTCTTTGAGAGAAGCTGGAGCGACTCAAAACACCGGAGTGAAAAAACACCATGTCGATCACAAGAGTGAAATGGGGACAATATGGATATGACTCATCTCCTCTTGAAAAGCACCGAACTCGTCAATCTTGTCTTTCAGAGTTCCTGGATGATGATAAGTTGCAAGTCAGTCATCATGCACACAATTTAGGAAATATGTTGTTGCCTCCCAATGATCCTGGACACATCAAAAGAACAGTTGACTCAATCTGGCTGACTCTCGGGAATGTCTGTGGCTGTGTATCTTTAGCCAGAAAAAAAACACATCTCATTCGATTCTACCAACTTGGAGCACCTTCTGGCATGTACTCCAGGAAGATGTAGAGCTGCCGATCATGGACCTCGTGTCCCAAGTAACTGACCTCGGCGAGTCGAGCAACGAAACGGACGAAAAACTCAAGCAAAATGAAACGGTTTCCCGGTTGGAGGCCATTGCTAGTAGGTTTTATGGACTAAAAGGCTAAAGACGGCTAAAGGTTACCAATGTGAGATTGCTCCTCAACCATCTTCTGTGGAGTTGATCTGAAATCTAAGTCTGTCACGATGTGCTCGTGTGAAATGGACCTGAGTACTGCACAGCCAAGGGAGCATGTCAAGCCACCGTGTTACATGGGTAATCACCAGTGACACATAATGAGTTCTTTCTGTACCGCAGTACTGCAAAACAAGTGCGGTAATAGATCACTTCAAACAAAGGCCGACGTCCCCACGTTTCCCCGGAAGTTCAACACTTTCCCACTCCCTGGGCGCTCCAAACTGAAGCAGTTCCAACTCTTGGTGCAGCTCCTTGGAATCCTCCAAGACTTTCACAGCGAAGGACTCACCTTCATCGCTTCCCGCAGCACTCTCGGGCGTTTCTCTGGGAGCTTTCGGGCGTTTGGTCCAAGCACCGCACCGCAGAAGTTGTTTGGGCGAGCACAAACAGTTGCAACTCGAGTGATCTCATGCGGCGGTTCTTCAGAACTGTCAACGGTAGAAGAGACACACACTTTTGAAAACACTTCCGACTTTTGAGCGTGAAATGGGGATGTCCACCCTTTCTCTGGACGAAAGGACTGGCAACCCTTGAAAAACCAAGTTAGTATCCGCTGGACCAAACATGGGCTTCATCACAGGTCCTCCATTTGATCGGCCAAAGGTTCGACTACCGTTGATGGAATCCGGTCAAACAAGAGATCGGCCGTTTTCGTGAAAACAGCAGTCAGTTCTCGTTGGTCAAACACCTCACTCACCCTCTGTGACCCCCAAGAGGTTCGCATTTCTGGCGGAGATTGAAAGCCGCAGCCGCTGGTTCGGCTTGGTCGAGTCCGAGCAGGTTCTTTCGAGACACACCTACGACGAAACATCACGAAACATCGAAGCTGATGTTTAACCACACATACTAGGCTAGGAAACAATAAGCTACTAGTAACAAGGGCATCGCTTCTAGTAACAAGTGC